TGGGTTGGAAGAGATATGAATAGCAGCTTGGTTATCACAATATAGTCTCATGGGTTTGTCAACCGAGAACCCCATCTCTTGTAGCAAGTTCTTCAACCATACTAGTTCACATGTGGTATGAGCCATAGCCCTGTACTCAGCTTTTGCACTACTCCTTGCCACCACTATTTGTTTTTTGCTCTTCCAAGTTACAAGATTGCCACCAAGGAAGGTACAATACCTTGTGGTTGATCTTCTGTCTGATATAGAACCAATCCAATCAGCATCTGTATACCCCACCATTTCAAGAGTCCCTCCACTTYGGTATAGCAAACCACGACTTGGAGCACCCTTCAGGTACCTAACAATCCTTAGAATTGCTTCCCAATGAGGAATCCGAGGATGTTGCATAAACTGACTCACCATACTCACAACAAATGATATATCTGGTCGGGTTATAGTCTAATAATTCAACTTTCCCACTAGCCTCCTGTATCTTCTAGGATCATCAAACTCTTCACCTGCATCAACACTCAACTTGACATTAAGTTCCATAGGAGTCTTTGCTGGTTTAGCACCTAACAGTTTTGTTTCTTCAAGTAGGTCAAGAACATATTTTCTTTGACATAAGTTAATTCCATGCCTTGACCTTGCAACTTCTATTCCTAGGAATTATTTTAGCTTACCAAAATCTTTCGTATTGAAGTGGTCCTGTAGGAATTTCTTCAGCCTGTCAATCCCGTTACTGTCACTCCTAGTTATGACAATATCATCCACATACACCACTAGCAAGATTTTCCCATCTTTTGGGTCATGGCTGAACACAGAATGGTCTACCTGACACTATTTCATCCCAAATTCCTTCAGTACTTCACTGAACCTCCCAAACCATGTGCGTGGAGATTGTTTCAGTCCATAAATTGCCTTTTTGAGTCTACAAACCTTTCCAACCTCCCCCTGAGCAACAAACCCTGGCGGTTGCTCCATATACACTTCTTCAATGAGATCACCATGTAGGAAAGCATTTTTGATGTCCAGTTGCACAAGAGGCCAATCATACATAGCAGCTAATGAAATCAACACTCGAACTGAACCAATTTTAGCCACAGGAGAAAATGTCTCCATATAGTCCACACCATACAGCTGAAAATAGCCCTTGGCCACTAACCTAGCCTTCAATCTCTCCACACTACCATCTGGAAGATACTTCTCTGTGTAGACCCACTTACACCCAACAACATGCTTATCAGGAGGAAGAGCAGTAAGTTCCCACATGTGATTGTGTTGTAGAGCAGAGAGTTCCTCTTCCATGGCTTGCCGCCACCCTAGGGAAGTAAGGGCTTCTTGGACAGTCTTGGGAATGGAAACAGATGATAGCAATGATATAAATTTGCGATGAGAAGCAGAAATGTGAGCAGCTGAAACATAGTGTGAAATAGGATGAGAAGTACAAGTGCGTTTTCCTTTCCGCAGGGCAATAGGAAGATCAAGGTCTGAGGAAGAAGAAGCAATGACAGTCTCTGTCGACGAGGGCTGAATTGGAGGAGGGGCCGATGCTCTTCTGTGAGTATACATGTGTTTGATTGGTGGCCTCTCAGTAGTAACCAGCATGGTAGGTGAATCTGCAACTGGAATGGGAACCACGGGAAGGGGATCCGCAACAGGGATAGGAAGAGGAACTACGGAGGAAGGAGAAGAAACCACAGTATCCGAGTTAGGGTTGTAGCACTTATACTCTTTCTGAGTCCTTGAGTAGCCAAGGAAGATACACTTAGTAGCTCGTGCATCTAACTTGTCTAAACCAGGCCCCAAGTTTTGAACAAAACAAACACATCCAAAGACTCTTAGGGTGAGAGGAAACGGAGACAAGGTGGGAAACAATACCGAGAAGGGGGATTRACTTCCAAGGATGGACATGGGCATCCTATTGATGAGGAAACAAGATGTAAGGACAACATCACTCCAAAAATGCTTTGGGACATTCATATTAAGCATAAAAAACCGAGCAGTTTCAAGGAGATGTCGATTTTTCCGTTCAGCTACACCGTTCTGTTGTGGGGTGTAGGCACAAGATGTTTGATGAATTATCCCATGGTGCTCTAAGTATTGCTGAAATGGTATTGAGGTGTACACTTTGGCATTATTGGAGTGAAGAATTTTAATATGAACACCAAATTGGGTACGTGTTTCAGCATAAAATTTTTGTAAAATAGAAAACACTTCACTGCGATATTTCATAATATAAATCCATGTCATCCTTGAAAAGTCATCAACAAAAATTACAAAATACTTATAGCCATTGTATGACATCACTTTGATTGGACCCTAGACATCAGAAAGAATTAAAGAAAAAGGACTCGAGACACGACTATCAACTCTTGGACTAAAAGAGACTCTATGATGTTTCCCAAGCTGACATGATTCACAATCCAAAGATGAAAGATGACTCAAGGAAGGAACCATCAACTTCAGAGCCTTGGGTAATGGATGACCAAGTCTGCAGTGCCATTGAAGAGGAGTAAGAGAAGACTGAAAAGCTACTGGAGGGTTACCACCATCAAGGTAATACAATCCACCTGCCTCATGCCCTCCACCAATCTTCATCCTCGTCTTGAGATCCTGAAACTCACAAGAAGAGGGATAAAAGGTTATGGAACAATTAAGTGACWTGGTTAATYTACTAACARACATAAGRTTAAAGGGGAACTTGGGAACATATAAAACAGATGATAAAGACAAGGAGGAGAGATCAACATCACCAACACCACAAATGGGAGATGTAGAACCATTAGCAAGAGTAACTGTTTGAGATGCGGAGGACCGAGAAAGAGAAGAAAATACATTAGGAGTCCCAGACATATGATCCGAGGCTCCGGAGTCAATGATCCAGGGTGAAGGCTTGGAAGCCAAGCAAGCCATACCTGAATGGGCAAGGGTAGTTGTGTTCTGCTGAGATGTCTGAAGGTACTGCTCATATACTGCACGGGGTACACTCACTATCTCCTTCTCAAAAGCACCAGTATATGTGGAGGAAATCGGGTCAGTTTGTTGACTTTCAGTAATTGTACCACTACCCTTAGTCACAACATGATTAGCCCAAGTGTTGGGTGGACCATGTAAATCATAGCAGAAATTAACCGTTTGCCCCTCTAATCCATAGTGTGTACACTTCCTAGGGGCATTACTTTTTCCTTTACCACGACCTCCCCCTAAGTTCCGACCTCCACTCCGGCCTCCTTCACGGTTAAACATGGGACCACCACGGTTACCTGGAAGGCCACAACCACCACCACCACCTCTATTTCCACGGCCTCCCCCTCTAGTCACCACAAAACCAGATTTGTCTGAGAGAGAAGAATGCTCTATAGACTCAATAG